ATTAGGTTGGAGGCCATCGCTATTCGGTTGGAGGACATCGCTGTTAAATTGGAGGCCATGGCTATTTGGTTGGAGGCCATTGCTATTATGTTGGGGGCCATCGCTATTAGGTTGGTGGCCATTGCTATTTGGTTGGAGGCCATCACTATTCGGTTGAAGAGGCCATCGCTATTAGGCTGCAGGCCATCGCTATTGGGTTGGAGGCCAAATCTATTGCGTTGGAGGTTGGAGGCCATCGCTATTACCTTGGAGGCCATCGCTATTCGGTTGGAGGACATCACTGTTAAGTTGGAGGCCATGGCTATTTGGTTCGAGGCCATCGCTGTTAGCTTGGAGGCCAACCCTATTAGGTTGGAGGACATCGCTATTAGGTTTGATGCCATCGCTATGAGGGTGGAGGCCCCCGCTATTCGGTTGGAAACCGGTAATATGTTGGAAGCCATCGGTACTAGGTTGGAGGCCATCGCTATTGTGTTGGAGGCCATCGCTATTAGGTTGGAGGCCATCCCTATTGGGTTGGAGGCCATTGATATAAGGTTGGAGCCCATTGCTATCAGGTTGGAGGCCATTGCTATTAGGTTGGAGGCCATCGCTATTAGGTTGGAGGCCATCGCTATTCGGTTGGAGGCCGGCGCTATTAGGCTGCAGGCCATCGCTATTAGGTTGGAGGCCATCGCTAACAGGTTGGAGGTTGGAAGCCATCGCTATAGGTTGAAGGCCATCGCCACTAGGTTGGAGGCCATTGCTATTACTGTAGGTTGGAGGCCATTGCTATTAGGTTGGAGGCCATCACTATTAGGTTGTAGGCCATCGCTATTAGGTTGGAGGCCATCACTATTTGGTTGGAGGCCATCGCGATTTGGTTGGAGGCCACTGCTATTAGGTTGGAGGCCATCGCTATTCCGGAGGCCATCCTATTTGGTTGGAAACCGGTATTACGTTGGAAGCCATCGCTATTAGGTTGGAGGCGATCACTATTGGGTTGGAGGCCATCGCTATTTGGTTGGAGGCCATCGCTATTATATAGGTTGGAGGCCATTGCTATTAGGTTGGAGGCCATCACTATTAGGTTGGAGGCTATCACTAACAGGTTGGAGGTTGGAAGCCATCGCTATTAGGTTGGAGGCCGTTGAGATTAGGTTGGAAGCGAGGCCACTGCTACTGCCATTGCTATTAGGTTGGAGGCTATGCTATGAGGTTCGAGGCCATTGCTATTTGGCTGGAGGCCATCGCTATTAGGTTGGAGGCAATCGCTATTGGGTTGGAGGCCATTGCTATTCAGTTGGAGGCCATCGCTAGTAGGTTGGAGGCCGTCGCTAGTGGGTTGGAGGCCATCGCTATTAGGTTGGAGGCCATTGCTATTAGGTTGGGGGCCATGGCTATTAGGTTTGTGGCCCTTGCTA